ATAAAAATTCATGGACACATAAATAAGGTATAATGAATCAGTCATCAAATTCTCAATTGACCAAGAATATTGTCCTGCATGTTAAATAATTATTAGTTTTAAAGTTATAATTTTTTAGAGTTATAATTTTTAAGTATAGTTCAGCAAAACCAGTTTGCAGCTTTACGGAATTCATAGGTATATAGAGAAATCAAGATATGGAGGTTCTGGAGCATCACACAGCAACAACTATTTTGGGGGGGCAGGGAACCTACAAAGCGTAGCGTAAACCTACATAATTCAGGAACATGATCAAGAACCCAGAACTTTAGTACCAGTGGTATGTTGACAGCATAAAACGATAACATAGATGGCATTCCAACAATCAATTCATAAGAGGCTCCAGACAAAACTATTTGAATGTATAACTCAGGATGCTATAATGAAATGCAAACTGAAAAGTACATAGCAATCTAGCACAAGTCCTCTTCCAGCAATCAATATAAATTCAGTACTTTTACAGAGTAATGCAACTATTTTCAAATTAGAAAATACACGATCCAAGGTGACCTGATATGCACTAAAGGTGAATTGTTGCACCTCCCATGGAAATCGATACACTGATTAAGTACTTAGAAGGCTTAAAGAGTCCCAGACACCTCATCAACAGAATGATGGGGGGAAAGGTAAATATATCAAATGTCAACATGACAAGCATTCAGAATGTTTCTAGGCCAGCAACTAGAGAGAAAATAAAGCGAATGATCTCTTTTCTTTATATTAATACATTGCTTATACCGCAATTCCTAAAATCGCAGACGTCGTCAATTAAAAGCAGCCGCGAGATGATGAGGAACAAGATAGCAATTAGTAACACTCCCACAATCGAAACAAAGCAATTAATAACAAATCCGTGACATGCATTTTCCAATAGAAAATGCAGGAAACTCGGGCATACGTTCCTGATCCTAGTGTTGGAGAATACGGTTAAGGTAGCACTGAAAAATTGTTCCTTGATCAAACATTGTTCACGACAGTAACCCACATTTGTTCTTACAATTTAGCGGCCAAGGTTGTAGCTGAAATTAATATTCACAAGCAATTTTCTCATACCAATCTCAATCTCAAATTCAACAAACGAATCAAAATTTCGAGCAAATTCAACGCAAGCCCAAAGAGACAGAGAGAGAGAGAGGGTGGAGACTCACTGGGAGGAACAAGAGGGGGCGGGGAATATAGCGACTGTTGAACACGGAGAGGAGGGCGCGTGATCCAGGAAATCCGGTTGGTTAAACCGGTGAGCAAACGCGGGTGCCATAGCTCACCAACGGCGACGAGCTGGACCAAACAAGTCCAAAGCAAAATGCTGGAACAAACTCTAAAGAACCAAACCTGAAGGCGAGTCCTAGGAATCACTTGACTTGGAATCTTGTCGCACCTCACTTGTACATTATTCTCAGATCTAACCTCCATTTCTCTCCCTCCCTCCTCATTGCCACTTCTTCATCTGAACCAAAAAAAAAATCCAATTCCCTCTTAACACGTCCCAAACAAGAACCCGATTTCCTCTTCCTACTATTCAAACACAAAAAACCCTAGAAAATGATCACGAGCCTAATCAGCCGAACAACAACAACAACAAATAAAATGAATGAACGAATCTCACCAACCAAACAGATTATAACTGGAAAATCTTTCCTTTCTTTCCTGACTTTTTTTTTTGTTTTTTGGCCGAGGAGGCAAAACCGTTATAGAAAGCCTATTTATTAGTCTATTACGAGAATTTTATTTATTGATTTATTTATTTTTTTGGGATCGAAGCACTCAAAATAATTATAAATTTAATTAAAATATTACATATAAAAGAAAATAGGACGGCTCCGGCCGTTCCATTCCAATGATTTCTTTTACTAGAATGGGGACAACTTCTCTCTATTTATTCTTTTTCTTATGTTTTTATTTTATTTTATACGTATATAATTTTTATTTTAAATTTTTTTAATAATATATATACCTGATTATATTTTATATATTTTAAAAAAATTATAAAAAAATAAGATTCTCATTTTAAATTTTTTAATTTTTTAAAAATAAAACTAACAATTTTTCAATCTTTAGTAGAGTCGAGTTACAACGATAATATTTATTATAAGTAATTTATTTAAAGAAATATTTAGTGAAGAAACAAATAGGATAGGGTTATGCACAATAGAATCTTTTGTGATGCTTAGAGAATCAAGAAATTTGACGTTGTTTAATTAGAAAAATATCAACAATTTAGAGTAGAGAACAGAGTTTATGCTGTCATTAGATGAAATCAAGGTATGAGTTTTTGAAAAATCATGCACAATTAACAAACATAAAGATATTGACAAAAAAAATTAATTAAAAATAGCTTCATTCGAGACGCTTTCCTTGTTTGGTACAAAAAATTAATTCGACTTTCAAATTACGAAATAACGAATGTAATTATAAAACTTGTTAATTTTAAAAAAATAATTTTCATTTGAAATGACATCCTTTTTTTTATTCATTTATTTTTGAAAGGAGGATAAAACAAAATTAATCCGACAGTTGACTTAGGACATAACGAATGTAATTATAAAACATAATCATTCAATTAAAAAAATTACGAGCTTTCTGTTTTTATTTAAAGGGGGAGGATGATGATCTCATCTCATGCATAAGGATATTCAATTTCTAACATTCTATATATATATATATATATATTTTAATGTAGCTACACGACATGCATGTGATTTATACGCTTCCTCTATTTTAATAATGGTTGAGATCCTTGTGAAATTCACCAAATTTGAATACAATAAGTTATAAAAATTAAGTACTCTATTAGATAATAGATTATACATACCATGTCCAAAACCTTATTTATCACTTTAAAAAAATATATCTTTTTTTTCATAGAAATTTTGTTGTAAAAACCCAAATCCATAATATGTTTCTGTGGGAAATAATTGACCAATGTTTCGCAAGAAAAAAAATAAATTTTATCAAAATAATTAAGTATTTAAAAAATTATTAATTTTTCAAATAATAAAATTCATCAAAAATCAATCAATATAGCTCAAAAAAAAATAACGACTCATTTTTTTTTCTTTTAACATTTAGCAATTTCACTATATTACACACATGCACACGATATTATATATATATATATATATATATATATATATAAGAGCTCAATTTATATGATATTAATATAAACTTGTTTCACTAATATGCCATCCCCATTCAACATGAATATCAAGTTGAAGGAATAAAACTTCTTAATTAGTTCTTTAAACGTATTCTGAGGAACCTACTATGAATGTTTACTTTAGTATTTCAGTTTGCCACAATTTCCCTGCCAAACTTAGTTCTATATCGATTTTCACCCTTGATCAACACCTGCAAGCTTTAATGCCAACTGCCATGGGGCTGTCATTCTCAATTTCAATTTTTCTACTATTTGCCCAGAAAAGGAAGAGAGAAATGGCCGGAAAACGAAAGCCCACCCTCATTATTTGTTCATAAAAGGAAAAAGCTTTTGCTTTTGCATTGAATGTATGGATGGGGTAGGCAGGCAGGCAGGCAGCCTACATGCAATCAAAAGAAGACTAAACTTTCATACCGTCTTACTGCAAAAGCTTCCCTTCAACGGAAAGCTTGCGTTTTTCCCATGCGTTTTCACACATTTTCTAGGCAACCAAGCAATGCAGCAGCCGCTCAAAAGTCAATGAATCCTGTGAAAGAGAGACAGAGAGCAATGGAATGATATGAACAAGACGGATGCATTAATAAATGTAACTCATACCCATGATTCCAACTTTGAAATCTGAAGAAGAAGAAGAAGAGTACAGAATGAGATTAAATTCCTGGGAATGCACTCCCCCACCAAGTTCATTTATGAACTTTGGAAGGCGCCTAGCTATGGCATTAATGGTCAACGGTGCTGGTTTTTTGTACTAAATTCTGTCAAGTATCGCGACAGAAATAATGATATAAAGTATAAATTGTATTAATAAATTTTATCAATTTTAAAGTTAAATAAAATACAAATCTCATTGATCCGTATTCAATCTCTTTTTCCTTCTATTGTTAAGAATTTTAATCAACTATATATATATATATAGTAATATATATAAAGACACTTAAATTTATTCATTTTTAATATTAAAAAAAGTTCCAACAAAATATTTCATAAAAAATTAAATAAAAAATAATTTACTTTCATTACGAAATATTCCATTGAAAAATACTGTTAGTTTTATAAAGTGAGTAGAGAGTCTGGTTCCATTTGAACCTTCCTAAAACCCTTAGCCCATAATTCTGCTTGTAGAGAAGAGGAAATACCTATTTTGTAGGTAAAACCATATAACCAGTTTCCAACTTCATCTCTAATAACCCCTCTTGCTGTTGCTAATCCCGGTTGTGCTCTTGTGCTACCATCGACACTGAGCCTTTCAATATCCTATAAGTAGGATATTTTTAAAAATCCTCTTTTATTCTCTAGAACGATATTATGGGAGTTTCATTTCTAAGTGTTATTTTATTGTAATTTGACTATTTTTCTTCTTTATTATATAAAATAATAATTACGAATATATTTGTTTGTAAGAATTCTATTTTTTTTTTTAATGTATATCTGCCTCAGAAGTGCCTGGTTCGAGCGACTAGCCCTGCGGGATCAACCTCGAGGCTCGAAGTCGAAGGTAAAACCATCGGGCCAAGACCCAAGAGCCCATGGTTCAAGCCCACACCTCTAATCTTAGTAGTTAATACGTGTCATCTTTATGTATTTAATATATTAATTTGTTTTTGTAATATTAATAAATTATAAGTACAACACGGATCCTACGGTACTTACGTGCCCGAGCATTAAAACAGATCTGGGACGATGCAAGACAGAACAGCATTAGTGTAACTAGTTTTTGCCATTACGTGTTTCCTCCAATCCTATCTCACCACGTGGCTGACTTAACTTTGACTTTATTTATTTTTAATATATTTTTTTAATTTTCTAATCTCTTCTTCTACAGTTCTTACCACGACTCCCCCCTCAAAGCCGAACCTTTTGCAGCAGCAAACAGAAAACCCCAAAGAATCTCTCTCTCTGTCTCTGTTTCTGTCTCTGTCTAGCAGTTGAAGTTGAGTCATTAACTATGATTCTTCGGTCGCTTCAAATCGTGGTTTTGGTGCTGGGGATTTTATCCCCTGCGTCGCAATCGTTACGGTTCGAGCTGCAATCGGGACACACTAAGTGCATCTCCGAAGACATCAAGAGCAATTCAATGACGGTCGGGAAGTACCACGTTGTCAATCCCAACGAGGGTCACCCTTTGCCCGATTCTCACAAGCTCACCGTCAGGGTACTCTAGAGAAAAACAAACAATCTTTTTTTTTAAAATTTTTTTGGGTTTTATTTTATTTTTTTGAAGAATGAATTTTGGGAATAATAATGAGTTTTTTTTTTTGGTTGGGTAAATTATTGTAGGTTACATCGACGTATGGGAATAGTTTCCACTCGGCGGAGAAAGTGGAGACAGGGCAGTTTGGGTTTACGGCGGCGGAGGCGGGTGATTACATGGCTTGCTTTTGGACGCCGGATCATTCGCCTCAGATTACGATGACCGTTGATTTTGATTGGAGGACTGGAGTCCACGCTAAGGACTGGTCTAACGTTGCCAAGAAAGGCCAAGTCGATGTAAGTCTTCTGTCCCTTCCTCTTTTTTCCTTTAAAAATAAATAAATTAATTGTTTTTCATGTTTTTTTTTTGTTTTATTTAACCTTATTGGTTGACGAGGTAGTTCTGCTTAGTCACCTTACTCCTAAGATCAAGATAGTTGGCATGTCGGAAAAGAACTGGTGGCAGCTGGGGACTTGGGTTAGGGGTTTAACGTTTGAACGGAATGGCTTATGTTTGTTTATTGGGGCAAAAGGACCCCACCTCTAACTGTAGAATCTACAATATGATGAAATCCTATGCTCGAAAGCTTTCAAAACGAATTGAAAATTGCATTTTGCTTAAGATTTACGACTGTGGTCAATAAGATTTTACGTGCTGAGGAGGTTTAGGACCAATTGCCATTCGTGATATCGGCTAGAGTTAAATGGAAGATTTGCTATTGTTAAAGGAGTGTCTTCCTCTTGTGCTACAAGCCCATGAGGCTTGTCGTTGCTTGTTAGAAATGATTCAGTGAAGGTTTTGCTTGGCTTCATATTGCTATTGATTTCCTGGACAAGTCAGGTTGCCCTGTGGACAAGATTGGAAAAACCTACAGGCATATCTTATCTTTACCTGCATGACATTTGCCTTATATTAATAGGGGGGTGCGTTGGTGGGAATTGAACAGTGCCTGTTGCACTTGCTGCTGGAAGTTTGAAGTACTGAAAAGTAGGTTTCTTCTAAAGACCATTACAGTCAATTATGGTTGATTGAAAAGTTTTTTGAAAAAAGATGTAAATCAGAGTTGCTAAGCTAAAGGGTTGCGGACTTTCAGTCTTTCATGGAAAATGCTACTGTTTGTTTAGATTTAAGCTTCGTTATCTTTTTCTTTTTGCAGCATACCCACCATCTTCACGTAGCATAATTGGTAATTATGGAGTTGACTAGGCTGATCTAGCACTTTGGCTTCAATATATGAGAATTTGCCTTGATTTTAAACCTTTTAGATGGGCTTTCTGTATAGTATATGCATGCAATCTTACACATGATCATGTTTCAAGCTGTTTTGCCTTAGCAAGCAAAACATGGTTGCATATAGTTCAAGCTGCTCAAGATCTTGAGCCTTCACTGGATATTAACATAATACTATTGAAATGTTGTAGTAGCCCCTTGTCTCTCAGTGCTAAAGCATTAGATTTATCAGTGGTAGTGCTTTAGATCATTGGAGCCATCAAACCTTCCAGCACATTAGTTTATTTGATATTGGAATATTTATTTTTGTCCTTGATCCTATCCTTAAAACTGCTAAACATCTCCTTAATACAATTTAAATAGACAACTTGTGTTTTAAAGAAGTAATGCTCCCCAAGGCATCTCCTTTGCTATAATTTTAAATCATTGTGAGAAAGGCAGCAGTGCAGACAGATTGTATGGTAGAAACAGCAAATTGACACAGAATCAAAGATAGCTTGCTTAGCTTGTTGCAGTCCTTGCTGCATACTAACTAGGAATCCTACCAATCAAAACTGCCCCACTATTACTCATTCCACAAACAATAGGCATGCTAGGATAGCTTTGTGTTCAATATTGTTTTCATATCTTTAAGAGTACCTGTACCTTGGTTTGGAAAATGAAGCTGCGGAGGTGCTTATGTTTTTATCCCTTTTCTGAGTGTTAGATGAAAAAACAAGTGCCTCATGTTTTCGTTTTTGGTACTTCTATTGTAAATATTAGGTCATGGAACTGGAGCTGAAGAAGTTGTATGATACTGTTACTTCCATTCATGAGGAAATGTTTTATTTGCGGGAAAGGTAAGGAAACATCTTTGTCACTCAAACTCATGGAATGTTTACCTAACCTGTTTTTATCACTAACCACTTTCGATTTTTGTTTTTGATTTTTATCAGAGAGGAAGAAATGCAGGAGCTGAACCAAGCTACTACCTCCAAAATGTTCTGGTTGTCCTTCCTCTCACTCTTTCTTTGTTTGTCAGTAGCAGGAATGCAGTTTTGGCACTTGAAAACCTTCTTTGAGAAAAAGAAGCTCATATAAGTTTGTAAGACAACAATTTTCATTTCTCCTCTGTACTCTTGTAAAATATTTTGGCAAAAATGTACTTTAATAAAAATAATTTCTTAGATTAATTGGAATTTTCAATAATCTCTTCATAGATTTGTAGCCACACTTTATGTCTTTCTTTTAGGAAGAGAGAGATACAAGGGGATGCACACTGGTAACCTTGCCAGTAGCTGCTTTTCCCTTTCACCTGGGAACCCGAACTTACCTCCTCTGGCCATGGAGCATTTCTGTTCGTAATCTCATCTCTTTCATCCTGTCCACTGCCTCTTTGGCCTCTCCCTTCCATGGCATCTTTGATTAAGTAGATTTATCTTTCATAGATACATTCTGCCTTTGGGTGTGTTTTGTACAAGTCTTATGGCATCTGGTGTGGTTAAGGTGTCTTAAGCTTTCAACATTGGAGGCTCATTTCTCTGCCTAAAGTTCTCCCACGGTTGCCGTTCTTTTTTATGGCTGCTTCTATTCCTTTGATTCACATTTCTGTTGGGTTTAATTTTGTTTCTTCTTATGGGATTAAACAGTAAAGTGACCAACAATTAACCTATCAAACAAGCAACCATGATTCAAGGAGTTATCCCTTGCAAAGTTCCACAAATTCATCATATACAAGAAAATTCTGCCTAAAGATTCAGACAACTTTGTCCAACCGTTTGCAAATAAAGACACTAAAACAACAAACAACATAGAAATTTGCCTAGTGTTTGCTCCTCACAATCAATAGTGTGACTATAAGGCATTACAATTGAAGGATGAAAGAAAAAAGAGACTAGAAGATGAGAAAACATTTTATATATGTGAATTTGAATGATCTCCTCAGTTCATTTGCTTGAATTCGAGATAATAAGAGTTGAAAATGCAGACACACCGACGCCGTTCATGATAGAATTTGGAAAGAATAGAGGAAATCCAATCATAGCAAAATCTATCATAAGCTACTTAGTGAGTGCATTCACAATACCATCTGCACAAATGGGAGAGCTAGTGGAGACCGGATGAAAATCGTTGATTTCATCAAATCTTGAGCATCATGTATTGAATATATTCCAATGATGATCGGTGGGTACATTTTCCTTGATCTTTTCAAGCCTCTTGAGAATTTCCAAGAAAGATGGTCTTTGGTTCATGTCAGCAGCCCAACACTTGTCTGTTAAACTAAGAAAGATTCAAGAAGAAAGAAATCAGCAACCCCAATTCTCCAAGTCTAGCAGTCCAGTTGTTTGTATTAAAATAAGACAAATTTGGTGAAAACAAAGTTATTAACATTAACTAAACGTTTCCCAAAAGAGACTTTGCAGTTAAAAGGATGAAAAAGGCAACAAGCTAGGAAAGCTCGATGTAATGATGATACAAGAAGTAGTCGAGGAAACAGTAAAAAAACCAGAAAAAAAAGTTTAATTGCCTTTAGAGCAACGTCAAAGTGTTTTGAGACAGTGCAGAGAGAATTATACGGTTAAGATCTACAAGGCAGGCATTAGAGATTTCAAAATGCAAATTATTATAAACAATTAGCAACAATATGCAAATATTCATGCAGAATTGATAATTTTGTAACCAACTTAATGTTAAAAAACTATACTTTTGGTTGGACTATGTACATGGTGTTGCACAAACCAAGAAGCATTCTAGTACGGTAGAGAAACTTCATGATGGCTTACTCTTTCAGTTCAGGGAGGTATGATTTTGACCGAAAAGTAGGCCTGTGTCCTTCTGCGACATACTTAGCTGCTTCATAAGGCTCGTAATGTGAGAATGGAGGTTCTCCTTCAAGCATCTGCTCCAATTAAGAATATCATAAGCATTAGAAGTAGCCTCAAATACTTCATGTTCAAATATCATTTCTAGTAGGAAGAAGATTACCTCATACAGTATCATTGCGAAAGAGAAAACATCAACCTTTTTATCATATTTTCTGTGTTTGAAAACTTCAGGAGCCATATAACGGTCTATTGTTTCAATTCCAAGAAAAGCAAAGAGAGTAAGTATATGAGAATCATATTTCATTCAAAGGAAATCTATAAAAAGACACTCACAACTTCCTGTCTCGCCAGTCATTTTGTAGACATCATGAGAATTTTGAACCTTGATGAGCTTGCTTAATCCAAAGTCTCCAACTTTCAAATGGTCAGCGCTGGAGTTGACCAAAAGCACATTCCTGAAATAAGGAAATAAATTTTAAAATGAAAAAATCAATGCAGTTTAGAATTTTAAAGCAAGAAAGAAGTCAACTAGAGAAATGGGGAAATATTTTCTGTTTTGGAGAAAGTCAGAGTTCATTAAGCATTCAAAATTCCAATAGTAACATAAGGACAGAGTCCAGGACGTGAATATAGCCTAGAATCAATAGCTAGTAGTAAACCAAAGGATTGATTACATGGCAAAACCCAAAACAGAACCCAACTCACCTTGGTTTAAGGTCTCTGTGAATTATAACATTTGGCTCATTGTGAAGATAAGCCATGCCCCTGGCCACAAAATTCACAAAATCTGATTAGCAGAAAAGCCATTCACATGAGACAAAATTAAATGCAGTCACAGTGCCAATGCATATTTGGCAGAGAAGCTCCCTGTCAAAAGGAAAGGGAGTTGCTCTTTATAACCAAAGAAAATTAAATATCTCATCCTAATTCCTAAAAGCAAAAGGAAGTAAGCTATACTTCTATATTTTTCACAAAATTTCGCCCCAGTTTTACTTATTAGATGCTAGAGAACATGAACCATAAGTTGCAGACTATACAAACTAAGATGCTGCTTTCACAGATACCTAGCTATGTCCAATGCAAAGTTGATGGCTGTTGCTGGATTAAGTGCACCCTTTTCCTTGAGATGCTGATGAAGATCACCCTGTAATAGCATATAATGATAAGAATGATAAGATTAAGAAAGGGTAACTTTAAAAGTGACAGTTATGATATCTAATAGAATATTCGGTGCAGTACTAAAATGTTGAGAATGAGAAACAAGTATGCATTCACATACTCCTCTTAAATACTCGGTAATTAACATAAGAGGCTTCTTCTCAGTTACAGCTCCCAGGAATTGAACTACATTAGGGTGGCGGAGCTTCACTAGCAAATTCACTTCATGCCGGAAATCCTGACTGAACCAGAGAGCAAAAGCACACAATTGCTTTCTTAATACAACAGAAAACTTGGATAAGGAGGAAGTAATTAAAGCTACAACAAGCATCAGATTAACCCTGTAAAATGTGGAAGCGACTTTCTAAAATTGGACCTTAGTACACCAAAAAGAAAATATGCTATGAGTCATTAGAGATGCCTTTTTAGGTTTGCATGTCAGTTTTATCCTTTCCTTTGGTTGCTATACATTGTCATGAGAACATTAAATTCAGCACACAACATGCATCAAAGAAAGCAAGCATTCAAGGGAAAGAACTTTACAAGCCAACTATTGTGAAATATAAAAAAGCAAAGTGGGCTTACATCACCAATCTGTCATCTGAAAGAGATGGAAGAATGCGTTTGACAGCAACTGGTGTTCCTCGCCAACTGGCCTTCAAAATCTCACCAAATGACCCCTGCCAGCATCAGATATAATCAATTAAAGCACGTATTTCAGATAGTAAAAGAAGAATACACCACAAACTTGCATGCTGACAACCAGAATCTAAGCAGCTTACATATGAATTCAAGTTGCAAACTGGCAGATGGAACTTACACATCAAAGGGACACAACAACAGTATAAAACCACTAATGGAAGGTTTGACAGCAAATTCGAAGTTATGTTAGCCCAAAGAGTTCTATCCTACCATACCAACTTAAAATCATGAATCTCTCTACCTCTCTCTTTGGCCAAGTCAAATCATCAATATCTGATTACAGAGAGATGGGATCATATTTCCTGAGATCATGTCATTATCAATCAATTAGACCAACAATTCCCAAGGGCCAGATTTGATGTAATTGTCCATGATGATTGTGGAACTCAGACATACTAACTCTCAATTTTATCAACTGGTTACCATCTTGCCAAAGAGGTGATTTCCAATTTTCCATTATGCTACCCATAGGAAAAGCTAAATTACATTTTTTCTTGGCAAAACACCATTCGTCTACATTTATGATAAGCACTCTCTGATTTGACTAACAATCACATGCACTTTTGACACCAAAACAATGGAAGACATTAAATCCTAGTTATTGTAACTGAACTAAGATCAAGACAGATTCACCATTCAAAAATTGACAAGCAATTTTCCCAAAATGATTTCACACTTAAAACAATTTGCATCCACGGAAAGCTCCGCTCTGCATGTAAATAATACTACGAAAATGAAATCACACCTTCCCAATAATATTTGAATTTGTGAAGTCCAGCTCAGAAGGGTCAACCTCCCAGTCACACTTGTTTGGTAGAGGGGGTGGAACTGGCTTTGGTTCAAAATGGCTTCCATTTTGGCCCTGCAACAATGAAAACTTTAACGTTTAGCCCACAAAAGCAGTTAAAATGCAAAACTTGCAAGATCTAAGAGAATTTACATCAAGTAAACTTGTTTAAGTAGCTTCAATATCAATCAAATCTGAAAAAATAATGAACGAGCATTTAAGAGTCAAAATCAATGTTACATTTCATGTTTCAAGGAAATAGTTCATGAATCATTCTAAACAAAAAAAAAGGGTAAAAATATTGTCATGTCAACAAGTACAAAAAGGAAAACACACACAGCATTCTGAACAAGCAGCCATGTCTAATATGATATACTTTAGAGGCTTCGACAATGTTAGCAAACTTCAAAGGGATGAAGAATGTATGATACTAAGGATGTCCTTCTAGGAATTCAAACAAATTAATTCTTAAAGATGGATTTTAAAAAAAGGGGGGAAACATGAAGGAAAGTTAAAGCTCATCCGCAGTTTCAAATCAGCCCAAATATGATCACAAAAAGGTCAGAATTAAAGTGCCATTTCCCACAATAATCATCCATCATACATACTGTTAAGGCTCATTACAATGCAGAATGAAATTAAAGGAACAGGCATTTTAAGAACTCCTCTTATTCTAGACTAAATATTGAAAGAAAATGCCAGCATTTAAAAAATGCTCAATGATAAAGCCTGCAAAGTAAAAAGCTGAACTTACATAAGATAATCCACCATATGATTTTAATAGCTCAATCATATTATGTTTCCTAGCTCCTTCTGCATCAGCTAAAGGCTGCCATCATCAAACCAAAAGAAGAAAAAACCAACAAACTTTTGGGTTAAATCCATAACAAAAAGCTATGGGAACAGTAAAAGCCTAAAAACCAGAGGAAGTGAAGACAAAAAGGAGGGCTGGGAACAGGTACCGTATTCTTCCAGCGATCTTGGGCGTTGACATCGGCGCCAAAATCGATTAGGCACTTGGCGACGTCGATCCAGCCATGGAGTGAAGCCACGTGGAGAGGCGTACGGTTGTCGTAGTCCCTAGCTTGGACCAGAGACCGATCTTCCTCGAGAAGCTTGCGGACAGCGACAGCGTCGTTCTGGTGAGCGTGCCATAAGATGAGCGAAGTCCTGCTCACTCTCGCCTTCTCCTTTTGCTTGTCCGCCGACGACGACGTCGAGCTCGCCTTCCCGCTTGATCCCTGAGCCGGCGATTCTCCGCCGGTTGTGTCTGAACTCATGGTCGAAGATCTGTTTCTTCGGGTCGGATCGATCGCAAATGTCTCCCTTCCTCTGTGTTGGTTTTTTATTGTTTATTATATTCTTTTCTTCTCTGAGGTTTGGGGGAGAGAGAAAGTTACTTGTAGTGGAAATGAAACGCAAGTGGGAAATATAACTCTTTCTTTATCGGTTTTCGGTTTTACTTTGTCAACAGAACAAGATTCTCTCTCTCTCTCTTTACCCTTCTTTCTTCCTCACAAATCCCATTAAGATTCCCTCTAAACCAATAAATGGCTCACAGAGGGTGTAGGGGAGTGAACGCATGAGGCGTCGTCGGCGTCGGCGTCGGCGAATAATGGCTTTTTTTGCTTCTTTTGTCACGATTTGTAGACTTCGAGATTGGCTCTTACTTTGACTTTTCCAAAAAGAAAAACGTTTTCCCACATTTTTAATGCCGGCGGCGGGTCAGACTGTCAATTACTGATTTTGTCAACAGGGTAAAAGAAAAAGTTTGGGACTTGGACTGGACCAACCACTGTACGATAAGACTGGGAATCAGTAGTAAAAATCTATGGAAAGTTCAGATTTTGTTCTATGGAATCTGTAGTTCCAAGATCTATGGAAAAAGGTAAGAATATGTAAAGTCAACTTACACTATATTTCAAGTTACAAGGTTTCTGTGACAAATGAATTTACGCTACAGTATAGGGCCTATACGGTTCTGATATTTTGACTTTGATAGTGCAGTTGCTCATACATTTATTATTGACTTTTATATCAAGTCCTCTTGGTCTTCCAGGGACCGTTTCCGCGCTTTAAGGTTGAGCTCAAGACTTTGGGGAAGCGGAGGTGTTCTGCCCCTGCGGAAGAGAACAGCCAGAGCCCTCATCTTATGGCAAAGATCAAATACCTGGTGAAATTGGGGGGTGATTGTTAGAGATGGCTATTTGAAGATGCAGAAAGAAAGATCTGCTACGTTATCTATCTTACTGATGAAGCTTCAATCTCTGCAACACCTTCACATCCTTGGCCGCCTCCCTGCATTAAGTCACAATACTTTGTAGCTTCATTCTCATCTTCAAATACCTGCACAGCAAGAGTTGAATGTCGTCAACCAAGCAACTAGATATGAGTCCATATAAAAAAGAAAAACACGTGCCCAACCAAGAGAAAGAAAAGTGAATACTATAAGATTAAAAGGCCAGCTTCAATGATTTACATGCGAAAGCTGCATGCATCATGAAACCGGGAGAAGTTACAAGTGCAATAGTAGCAGGGGAAAATGAAGGCATACCATACAGCAACGGTACTAAATTTTAACCATGGAGACACTGGATGATGGGATTCCAAAATATCGTTAAGCAAAGATCATCTTGAGATTAGAAGAGTCTTAGAGGGCATTGAGACCAGAATTTGATCTATATTTGTAGTTCCCCTAATTCCCTTGATAACATCCAAACTTACTTTAAAAAAAGAACAACACTATATCATTTAACACTTACAAGCACTCCTTCTCTAACATCCTCCACCAGCATCTGAAACTTGGTCCCAGATCTAGGCTGTTTACTTTTGCTTCCAATTCCAGAACACCAATTTGCTCCTTTCGAAAACAACAATCGAAGCTCCCTTTCAACTTCACTGTTAGAAGAAAAGAATGTGAGGCAAGGCAACAAAAACAATAATTCAAGAAAAGACAACATATCAAACTAAATTAGACCTGCGGTTTCTTCGAGTTTTCATTGTGCACAACTGATTTTCCTTGTGAGTTAGTACATATACAGGTTTCGAAGGATCTCTCCACGGATTTGCCTCCAACACTGAACAAGATTAAGCACAGGAAAAGTAGTGAACCTTGTGAAAGAAAACAAAAAATAATTTACAACAAAGCATCAAGCCACGAAGAAACAACACAGGCTCTCATATAATCCACAACTATTATCCACACTAAAATACTATGTATCAATAAATTCCACTATTGCACACCAAGTACTCATACTCTACATATGTCAGATAAAAGAGTCAATATTCTTCTTATAGAGAAGGTAAGAAAGAAATGTTTATCGACCAGCTGGACAGACAAAGCATGGCATATGCTTTTAACAGTCAGGCTGCTTCTATTGTTCCATTTCAGAACTGTTAATCACCTCAGGTATAAAGTAGGAGAGGTCATGTGATCCGCTTTCACTGCTAAAAGTTTTACTTTTCTCTGGGAATACATTCTTAATATTAAAGTGTATGTGAAGGAGGTCAAGATTAAATTAATTCCAGTTTTTGCTAGTAGCTATGCTTAAACTGCAACATGCTGCTATGGTGGAAATAGTATGAAGTAGTAGCAGAGACCCATACCTGTGAATCGGAGAACAAAATTTTAAGTGACTTATTATTTAGTGAAGGACATGTATCAACACATGTTGTAGCCAGTTATAAGTTAAACAAATTGCTAATCAATATTTGGAGGGAAATACACAGGACATAGATCTTTCACGTTTACTTAGGAAATCTGATGGTCAATGAGTTGAATGCACGAAGGCCACCAAATGAAATTCCGGGAAACTGGGAAGAAAGCAGCATGGGCGGTGCCCCAACTGTCAGGTTCCAGTTTCAATTACAGCTACAAATAGTGGGGAGTTACAAAGGATCATTTCAAAGACAGACCATTCACTAGAAATCAGACAACCAACACAGCCACCCTTCTCATCAGCGAAACAAACCAAACAATTATCCAAGCAAAGATCCAGGCAATGACTTGCAATTCAACCGGATAAAAGGGTATGCCTAAAGTTATCACAGAATTCACATTGCAACAAATTAAGTAAGAGATACAAGGTAAAATTACATGAATAAGCAAGCATCAAAGTAGAAAAATGCATTTAAAAACACCCAAAATATGCAGTGTGAACAGAAATGAACAAAGAACACTTCTTTACCATCATAGCTGCTACTATCAAAAGTTTGCTGCAAATGCCTCCTCATATCATACGCCCGAGATGAAACCCGTTTCAGAAACTCCTCAGAAGTACTCGGAATCGTACCGTCCAAATGGAGAGCCCTTTCAACCTCCTCTTTCTCATCATCAAAATCATCATCATCATCATCCTCTCCTTTTCCGGCATCTCTACCGTTCAATTTGCATTTACAATCAACAACCCGATTCAATCTCCCCTTACCAGAAGGCACGCTAAAGAAAGACGACAAGCGAGGAAGACGACTATTCGTGGCGAAGGAAAAGACAACGACTTGAGGACGATGCCTATGCGTGGGCAAAGGGTTGCTCTGAGGAAGAACTATAGACGGCGAGACCGACGACAGGGAATCCATGGTTTCTAGCTCTAGTTTGTTTCCAGTCAGCTTTCGAAAGCTTGGGAAATCTGCCGAAGAGGCTTGTCAGTGTAAACTCGCGGAACCCAAGGCGTAAAAGTCGCGAATTTCTTTGCCGTGGAGAACTGTGTAAGCTCGAGAGAAGAAGAAGAAGAAGGGAAGTTGGCTTTTGGGAATCCCCTTCTCGTTTCTCAATATCTGACAAATCTGGCAGATTTTTTTTTTCTCTTCTTCTTCCGTGGTGGGGTCGGGTCCAGTGAGTTTGGACGGGTCAACCATACTCGGACGCTCGGATCTTGAGTAATAAGTGCAAAGATGGAGGGAAACGATATGAGAGTCGGTTGGGATTCGTCCACGTGTTAGTTAATTTTCTAAATGTCGGAAGTTGATTTTTTATTTTACTATAATTTTTAAAAAATTAATAAATATTCAAAAATATTTTTTATTATTTTTAATTAAATTATTATATTTTATTTTAAATTAAATAAATTTTAATAATTTTATATTATATTATTATTTACCATTATATTATATTAACATATTATAACAAATAATAAGATAATATATGATTATATTTTTTACTTTTTAAATATATATAAAATTATAATATTTTAATTAATAATAATTAATTAAAAATTTAATAATTTAATAAAAATATAAAAATTTAAGTAATTATAATAAAAATAAAATTTAATTTAATTTTTAATGATTTTTTTTCCAAACATTATGTCTTATATTCATAATTAAGAAAATAAGTAATACCATTAATATTATTAAATGGGCTCAATCCAACTGTAGACGTAACCAATCAAGCCCACCTTCTCAACAGGCCCAGGACACTGTGAAATTGGCTCAGCTCATATATAGCCAAGAGTTTCACTGAAATGGATTTTACAGAAAAACAATACAAATCGTAAGGGGAAATATACATTACATATTATCAATTTCAACATACATGAAGACAAAGCATCAAATGGCAGATGCAGGCCATCATATGGCTAATAAGTATATACACAAATTGCGGAAAAAGCAACCAAGAACATCGATTAAGTAGCACAATGATTCAGAGATTCATTAGTGATGAGAAATCTTGTAATAAAGGATTAAGCCAATGGCAAGGACGAGAGCTACAATTATTGAGACAACAATCCATTTGTTCTTGGTAATCCTCCGCGACATGGTAGTTAAGACTTTCTTACTCTTGTCGATGGCATTATCGACCTCATACAGCTGCAAAAGACAACAAAGAAATAAAATCAACAATCCATGTGTGTGAATTGTAGCCTTAGTTCTTCAATAAGAGATGTGAACAAATATGGTAAGTATGAGAAGCTGGCTAAACATGTCTGCAACTGACACAAGAGAGACTAGAGAGAAATTGAGATTCACTGATAAAGAGCAATAAGCTTCAGAAGTTAACTTCGATCAGTACACATGCGTTTGGATCAGAAATAATACCTTGTTATGGGCATGCAGGAGAGTCTGGCGTTGTTGATGCAAATCTTCAAGGATAGAGACACCAAGCTCTTCTGTCTCCAGAATAGTTCTTCTACTCTCCTTAATTCTGTCACTCGACTGATTTAGTCTCTCCACTGACATTGACAATCTTTCTCTTTGATCAGCGGAAACCTGTACCATCAGTTACC